AAAACTTTTTGATGAACAAGAACACACTTCAATTTTTGTTTCCAAATACTAAAATCAGTTTTTCCATTAAAAGGAGTCAAAGCATACTGATTCATAGTAGACATATCCACAAAGGAGAAAAATAATCAAAAAAAATCACCACAAAGGAGAAAAAAAACCCACAAAAGAGAATAAAAAAAATTGAAAAAATCGGCAACACAGAGGCACGTAGAATTTGGCCTAAATTTTCCAAATTTGGCTCACGTGTGTGAAGCAATTGCACGAACAACCTAAGATTATTATGTTAGCGAAATTGCTTACTCAATCCCGTTGTTCTTTCACACGAGCACAAACTATAGTGGAATTAGGCAATCGGAAATAATGCAGCGGAATTAAACAACCCTAAAACAATGCTACGAAAGCAAAGGGATAAAGAGTTGTGTACCTAGCGAATCTAATGCCTAGATTCGACTTACCTATTCCACGAAGGAATGAAATTGAGAGCACCGGCTATGGATGATTCAACAACCATTGAAATCTTCTGCTTCTCCTCCACGGCCTGTGTTTTCTTCTGCTCTTACGGATCCTTTCGTTCCTTCAACTGACTTCAATTTGTTTTAATGATGATAGTGGGGATTGAACCAAAAAGATATGAAGGATTTTTTATTGTTAATTCATTTAGGTTGGCCCAAACATATTAATAATATTTGACACCCAACCCATCAGCCCATTTACTCAAGCCCAACCTTTACTTCTTAACCTAATTAAGCTTGCCTTAATTACAACTCTAATCTCCACTATATATTGAGGGGCTGCCTTTGTGCTTCTTCACCGTGCAAAACATCCGTCCCTTTCTCTTTGTGAGTTCTTTGTGTGATATTTCCCTTCCTCTGTGAGTTCATCTCAGTTCTTCTCCGTTTCTTTGTGAGTGGAGTGTGGCGAGGTTAGGTTGGGGTGTTGCTCCTTTTGGTACCCTTGTAGTGCACAACTACGGACCGATTTTTACGGGTGACCTGAGCCTAATCGGAATAAATAAATACAAATAACAAGTATTTTTGCGGATCACGACGGGTTGACTAATCACACTCCTATTTTGGTTTTAAAAGACTTAAGACTTCTACTTTGGTATTTTTATAGAGTAATGCTCTAGAGTCACAAACAAAATACTCACAAAATTCACAATCTTACCTTTTTTGCATTTAAATATTTATTTTTTAATTATCTGAAACCATTATTTGGTACCTTTGTTTTACATATTTGGTAAGATTGCGAGTTTTGTGATTGTTTTGTTTGTGAATCTAGCATTACTCATTTTTATAATCCCTCTTATATTGATCTTCCCATTTTGACTAATGCTTATTTTTAAGGGATTGAATTTTTTCACTCTGACTTCCAACTATACTCTTCCTTTAGAAAAACTGTAGTGTAAAGGAGTAAAAATAAGAGTAGATATTATGCATTAGGGAAGAGCATAACCACATATTGGAATTCGAATGATGCATTGACTGTAACGTACAAAGAGTTGAGATTTTGGTAGTACCACCAAAATCAAAACTTTAAACATTAGCTTGAATCTTACAATTGGGAGGAAAATTTCTAAACATTTCCCTCCAATCATAAACAAAAAACACCACAAAAACCTACACCTCATAAATAATTCAATCCCCTATAAGTTTAGAAACTCCACCCCACAACAAAAAATTCTGCAACCCATGTCCTTTCTTCATCTCACTATTGTTCCTCCTCCTCTCACACGACCGGTTATTACTGGCCCAAGTAGAGATGAGAATCTGCAAAGAGAAAACCAAGTAAAGAGAAAAAGACTAACAAATGTAGAAAGACAAAGAATTGTAGAATCAATCTTACTACATACAAAAAAAAATCAGTTTAATACATAACTTAGAAAGGAGTTATTGGTAAGGTTGCTGCTAAATTTAATGTTTCAAGAAAATTCGTAGGGAAACTATAGAGTAGAGCTAGAAAACAAATCCACTATGCATCTTTGTATTAAAAGAGGTTTGCTAAGAAGTCATTTGAATGAAATTAAACCATTCTTAACTGATGCAAACAAGTTGCAAAGATTACAATTTTGTTGGAATGAGATAGAACCCATTACCATCCCATGTATCCCCAGGTTTAGAACATTCCATAATGTTCTTCACACGGATGAGAAATGATTCTTTATGTCCAAGACATTAGAGAAATATTATTCGACTCAGAATGAAATGGATCCTTACAGAACATACAATTCGAAGCGTTTCATTACTAAAGTCATGTTTTTATGTGTAATTTGTAGACCCTTAATATCAGAAAATGAGGAGATTTTGTGGGATGGAAAATTTGGAATATTTCCATTTGTTGAAACTGTGGCAGCTAAAAAAAAGAATAAGAACAGAGAGGCAAGTGGTTTAGAGGTGAAGCAACTTCTTAGTGTTACCAAAGAATTGACTAAACAAATTTTGGTCACCCAAGTCATCCCTGCAAGTCAAGAGAAATGGCCTTCCATTTTAGACAAAAACATTGTGCTCTAGCAAGATAATGTCAGGCCTCAAATTTTTGCCACAAACCCATAGTTTATGGAAACAGCAACTGCAAATGGATTCAACATAACCCAAGGTAACCAACCCCCCAACTCTCCAAACCTCAACATCCTATACTTGGAGTTTTTTTAGAGCCATTTAATCACTGAAAGAGTAGTGTTCTCATAAAAATTTGTCACACCTACTACAAGTAGTTAGGGTGCATATGAATCCCTAACAGTAGAGACTTTAAACAAGGTATAGTTAAGCTATCAAAATGTGATGCAGGAAATCATGAATGATGAAGGAGGGAACTAATACAAGCTACCACTATAGAAAAGGACATGTTGGCTAGACAAGGAGCACTGCCAGTGTGTCTAGATGTACCCTACACATTGCTAGAGAAGATTGTAACGGTGCTTGGTCAGGACGGTGGACAAACTGAAGAGCAAGTGGTACATGAGTTCATAACTGAAGATGAAGAGGACTTTTCATCTTCAAAGATGAACTAAGTGTTTATCATAACACTAATACTCTTTGTATTTTGTGAATGATTGAGTATATTTAACTTTTGATTTTGAATTTTTTAATTGTAGATTGTAAGTAGTGAAGAGTAGGAAAGTAAGACCTTGACCTTTTTTTCACATCAAGTCAACTACTCAATATGTACTCCAACCAATTTTCTTTGACCACCACTCACACTATGTACCCCAATGAAGAATTTAAACTTTTAATTGTAAATTCCATAATCATCATTGCTGTGTATGTAGAGTGTTGAAACACGGGCTTGTCACGTTTTTCGTACTAAAGCCGTGTTTGTTTTTTTTATGAAAGGTTTTGATAATGCCAAACCGCCGTGATGAAGTCAAACTTTGAATATACAAGGCGAAGAACGAAGATAAGAACAAGATCTAAACGAAGACCTTAGTCTTAGTATCGTTGAGTCGGTCTTTATTGTGATCAAGACCGACCCAATCTTTACACCTTGGCTCTTTAGGCTAAAATCTTTCATTGCATTTCTTAGATCATAAAAATGTTTTTCAAACTCATTTAAGTCATTAAAAACACTTGGTGTTCACCCAAACCAAAAACCAAGCAATCCAGGGTTCGGCTTTCAGAAACCAGCATTCGGCTTTCGGTTATCGACATTGGTTTTTGGCATCCGAACCAACCAAGTGGTTTTCAGCATTTTATGATTGGTTTCCACTCTTTGGAATGTTTTAACGGTTCTCCAACAAAAACACTTTGAAAACCATCTTTCGCTTTTGGTCATTTGACAAAAACCTCGCAAAACGGCGTAAACTTGGCTAGCCGTGGTTTTTACTCAAATGACGTGGTTTTTAAAGTGTCTCACTTGATTTCTTAGCCAAATACATCAAATAAGTGTTTTAAACACTGTTTTTATCTTGGAGAACTTTGGATTTTTCGGTCGGTTTTTGCATCGGTTGGCTAGGCCGTGGTTAAGGCAAAAACCATGGGTTTGTGACTAACCACCCACCCAGCGATGGGAAGATCTTCCCATCGATGGGTAAGCGGTCCCTTAGCCCAACCAATTTCCAGAACCATGCCAAACAGCGATGGGAAGTTCTACCCATCGGTGTTAAAGCCTTGGTGCAAAATTAACACAAGGCAGAACAACCTTGCCCAGCGATGGTAAGACCAAGCCATCGATGGGAAGGCATGACTGTTGGAAGTCATTTAAGGTTGATTCTTTCCTTGTTTGGAAGTAAACCTCCCACCCAGCGATGGGAAGCTTGTACCCATTGATGGGTAGGTAACCGTTGGCATCAAAACTGAAGGAAAATTGGGTTACCAGCAATGGGTAAGTCTCAAACATTGATGGGAAGCCAATATCCTGCAGATCCCAAATCTTTTCAATCCCATAAATCAAGCCAATCACCCCTTTAATGCATTGGTTCGTTGGAGCCTATTTTGGCACTATAAAAAGGGGTGTTTGGGTCTGCTTCTCTCACCAATTCACTTCACAATATTCATACTTTCATTGCATTCAAATAACATCATTTTCCATAGCTTTCTAGAGCCAAATTGTGTGAATATTGAGTTGTTCTTGAGCGTACTTAGTTTACTCATCATCTACTCTATAAGAGAGTCTCGTTCTTGAGTGTACTTGTGTTCTTAGACACGTTGAGAGAAAGTATTTCTCTCGGTTGATTCAAAGGAAGGGTTGTTTCCTTTGAAGGATTCGTTGAGGTTTGTGTGACTCGAATTCTCAAGTTGTAAAGGTTTGGTAAGCACCGTTAAGCTTAACGTGATAGTAGTGTAGCTCGAGAGAGTCTCTCGGGAGGTTGGATTAGCCTCAAGTTGCGGTGAACCAGGGTAAATTCGGTGTGCCTCTTACTCTTCTCTTTACTTCGTTTTTAAATTTCTAATTCCTGTGATTTCTATGATCAAACGCTATTCACCCCCCCTCTAGCATTGGTCTATTATTCTAACAATTGGTATCAGAGCCTTACTCCTGTCCAAACTTAACCGTTTGAGAGTAAAGCGATCATGGGTTCTTCTTCTAGAAATCTTTATGCAGGAATTGGAGAAGGTCAATCAACCTCTAGGCCACTGCTTTTTGATGGCACCAACTACACATATTGGAAAGAGCGGATGAGAATTTATATCCGCTCAACCAACTTCCAGTTGTGGTTGGTCATCAAAAACGGCGAAAAACGCCAATGAAGAAGGTCAATGAAAAACTCGTCCCAAAGACCGAGGACGAATTTGGTGCCGAAGACATCAAAAAGGTGGAGAACTATGCCAAGGCAATCAACATGCTGTACTGTGCGGTCAATCCTGATGATTATCGCAAGATCTCTTGCTGCACCACTGCAAAAGAAATGTGGGACAAGCTGGAAGTCACATATAAAGGTACGGACCAAGTTCGGGAAGCCAAAATTGACTTCCTAACGCAGGAGTACGAGATGTTCAGGATGAAGGAAGGCAAAAAGATCGATGACATGTTCGATCGGTTCTCAAAGATCATCAACGACCTTCACGCTCTCAAGAAGACGTACGCCAACAAGGACCTTGTGAGGAAAATCCTGCGGAGTCTCACACCCGAATGGAGATCAAAGTCTGACGCAATCTACGAATCCATCGGAGTCTCCAATGTCAGCATCGACGGGCTAAGAGGTAACCTCAAAACTTATGAATTTACTATTCTAACCCCGTCTTTGGATGAACAAAAGAAGAAGGGAATAGCACTGAAAGCAACCAAGAAGATGATGACAACGAGTTCATACTCGTCATCAAGAAATTCCACAAATTTATGAAGAAGGAATTTGAGTTCAAAGGAAGAAAGCACGACGGTCCCCCGAAGTGCTATGGCTGTGGTGAGATAGGCCACATCAAGCCGAGGTGTCCAAAAGGCAAAAGCGGCAAGGACAAACCTGGCTTCAAAAAGCAACGCGCCTACATCTCATGGGGTGGCGACTCAGGGGATGAGTCAATGGATCAAGAAGAGGAAGAAGCCGCAAACCTCTGTCTCATGGCACACGAAGACCACGTCGACGAAGTACAAGAGGTATGTACCCCTTCTTCCGACTCTTACACTTTTGAAGAGATGCAAGAAGCTCTTCGAGAGCTTTATGATGAATTTGTTAGCGCTTCTAAAACAACCAAATCATTAAAGAAACGTCTTTCAACTCTTGAAAATGATTTTGAAAAACTGGAAAAAGATAATGAAAAGTTGAAACAAGAAAATAAATTTTATGGTAAAAGACGTGCTGACAAACCGGAAAGCTCTTCAAGTGAATGTGAATCTTGCAAAGCTTTAAAAGAAAAAGTTGCAAAACTTGAGAGTACGGTTAAGAAGCTTAATACACCACACAAAGATCTCAATTTACTTCTAGACACTATGCATTTTTCTAAGGAAGGAATAGGTTTTGATAAAAATGAATCTAAGGATAAAAACGTTGAGCATACACCTAGACAACCTACTAAGGCTCAACGCAAGAAAGTTAAAAATCAGGATAATAGAAAATCTAGTCAACCTAAGGACACTAGACAACCTAGACAAAAACCTAGGAATGAAAATGTGCATGCTAGACAACCTAGGAAAAATTATCAAAATGATTTTATGCATAAAAATAATTTTTCAAATAGACAAAATAACGTTAGAACACCTAGAAGAGAGAATTTTCAAAAACCAACATTTTCTCAAAATAGGATGAATATGGTTAGGCCCCCTAGCAACTATTATCAACCTAGGAGGATGCACAACCCAAACGTAGTTTGTCACTACTGCAATAGGATAGGACATTTAGCTCCCGTTTGCTTTACTAGACATAGGCATTGGGCACAAAATGAATCACACTACGACTTTGCACATAACACTCAAGGACCCAAAAAGACTTGGGTACCTAAATCTTATTAAATCATTTTTGTAGGTATGCTTGAAGGCGTCAAGTGTACTTTGGTACCTTGATAGCGGATGCTCCAAGCACATGACCGGAGATGCATCCAAGTTCCTACAAATCAAACCCGCCAAAGGAGGAAACGTAGTCTTTGAAGATAATAGCAAGGGAAAAATTATCGACATCGGTTCAGTAGGTAAGTCTGAAGACACCTCTATAGATAATGTCTTGCTTGTTAAAGGTCTTAAACACAATCTCTTGAGCATAAGTCAATTATGTGACAAGGGAAACCGTGTGACCTTCGATTCAAAATCATGCACTGTAGAACGCCTTAGTGACAATAAGGTCATTCTACGTGGTGATAGAATCGATAACATATATATGGTTAACTTAGACAAATCTCCTTCCGGCTTTGCTAAGTGCCTCATGAGTAAAGAGGAAGACACTTGGTTTTGACACCGAAGGGTAGCTCATATGAACACGAACCTTTTGAACAAATTGGTTTTACAAGACTTAGTAATCGGCTTCTCAAAACATAAGTTTGAAAAAGACACCACATGTGATGCATGTCAAAAGGGGAAGCAAGTTCGGGCTTCGTTTAAGTCTAAGAACGTTGTTTCAACGTCTAGACCGCTTCAACTTTTGCACATGGATCTCTTTGGTCCTTCTAGAACGAAAAGTTTTGGTGGTAATTACTTTGTGTTTGTGATTGTCGATGACTACTCTAGGTTTACATGGACCTTGTTTCTAACTCACAAAAGTGAGGCATTTCACGCTTTCAAAAATTTTCTAAATAAAGTTCAAAATGAAAAAGAAACAACCATAGTAGCCATAAGAAGCGATCATGGGGGAGAGTTCGAACGAAATCTATTCTCAGATTTATGTGACGAACTCAGCATTGATCATAATTTCTCAGCCCCATGTACACCACAACAAAATGGAGTGTGGAACGTAAAAATAGATGTCTCAAAGAGATGGCTAGAACTATGATCAATGAGGCAAAAATCCCTAAGTATTTTTGGGCGGATGTCGTGAGTACCGCGAGCTACGTGTTAAACCGAGTCGTCATTCGACCGATACTCATGAAAACGCCTTATGAACTATACAAAGGGAGAAAGCCAAACCTTTCCCATGTTCGAGTATTCGGCTGCAAATGTTTTATTCATAACAATGGTAAAGACAACTTAGGCAAATTTGATGCCAAGTCGGATGAAGGCATTTTTCTAGGCTATTCACTTCGTAGCAAGGCCTATAGAGTCTTTAATAAACGAACCTTGACCATTGAGGAGTCCCCTCACGTTGTATTTTCCGAAGATAATCCTCGCTTGGCAAGAAAGGATATTTGTGATGATCTTGCAGATTCATTAGAGAGAATACACTTCGAAGACGATGAAGAGAACATGGGAATATACACCAACACGCAGCCGCAAATTGGAGAGACACCTCAAGCGACTAACCAAGGTGAAGAAGAAAATCAAGAGGAAGAAGAAGAACAAGAGGAACATGAAGAAGAAGCAACCGAGCTTCCCATTGCATGGAGAACGAACAAGAATCATCCGCTTGACCAGGTAATCGGTAGCATCAACCGCGGGGTAAGTACTCGTAACTCACTTAGGGACACCGTAGGACACATGGCTTTTGTTTCTCAAACTGAACCTACAACCATTTCCGAAGCAATAAACGATGAACATTGGACCTTGGCCATGCAAGAGGAGCTAAACCAATTCAAACGGAATGACGTTTGGGAATTGGTGCCAAGGCCCGATGATCGTACGATTATTGGTACGAAATGGGTGTTCCGTAACAAACTT